ATACTTTCCGTATGCACTGTTTTTTTGATTTAAGAATCTACCTTTCCACTGTGTTGGTCCATCCCTTTTGTATATGGCGGTATGGTATATCAAAAAACATTATTCACCCCTCCAACACACAATTACAGCCCTATGAGGGCCATTTAGTCGGGTTGATAATGAAGATTTGAGTGATTAAAAGTCTTCTCTTCCTGTGAGCAGAAGGCCAAATGATGTTTGGCTTGAAAGTGAAGAAGAAAAAGAAAGCCAAAAACAGACCTGGTCCTGGCAAACAAGGACTGTGGGTAAGGCCTGAAAAACACACACCAACACACACACACAACACACATTGTTGTATTTACCAGTGGACCTTGTCATGTCCTGTTGGTGAGTATACCCTTGTCAAACAGTCATACTGGTTGAATACTGCTTACACAGGACAGTAATTATGGGTAATTTAGGTTTTCAAAGACAACACAGGCACATCATTTATCACAGGATGTTCATTTATCTACGCGTGCTAATAAAGGTCCTGTGAAATGATTGAAGACGGCCATTTTCTTCTGGGTTTCAAAATGTTTTCACATCCAACAGGATGTGTGGAGTGGGGTTAATGGAGCATAGACTCAGTCTGACATGAATTATCTGCTATTAATTGACTATTCCAAAGTCATTTTAAGAGAACCTTTACCACAACAAGTAAAAGAAAAATAACTTTATTTCAGACACCAGCATCCACCCACTATGTGTTACTGTGCTAGTGCTAGTTAGCTTAAAAGCCAAGACATCACACTGTTTGCCAAGACTTGCAATCATGTTAGAACAACCTCACTGACTTTTTCCACTAACGTAAAGCCCCCAGTAACGTGTAGTTAACAGGTATTTAAAACCATTTATATCTGTTTTATTGACTTTAATTGTCTTGGTTAAAGAGTAAATAAAACGTGTGTGGTGTGTGTGTACAGACAGTGGAGGGTGGAGGTGCCTTTCAGAAGCATCTTCCCTTGCTGGAGGGAGAAAACCCGAGGGATCAACCCAAGGAACCTCTGCAGTCAAGAACCAGAATAGTACCAAAACAATAAGAGGTATGAAGCATTCACACTACATAACTGCCTGTATAGAGTAATCTGGGAGCAGATAGTGAGAATATTTAAGAGGCACACAAATGGCAAATTTGGCAAACCTAAGTCACCACTGTGTCCAGATTTCTTTCATCTTGGTGGTTATAAGCAGTGACTGTAAGTCAGTGAGCGCTCTGTCATCTTGTGCTGACTGTGCTATGATAACACTTCTGGGTGCAGTTTACTGAGTAACTGTAAATATCAGGCATATATTTCTGTATATATGACTGTTAATAACTCAGACTGAGACACTGACCTGGACAGTGAAACTTTCACAGGGCCAAACTGAAAACTCGCATCCAGGAACAAGAGGGAAACACAGAGCTTTCAGGTAACCACAACAGAGCACAAACTTACTGCTTATATTTTTAATATTAAACTTAAGAATTCTCAAAGGGAACATACAGTAGAAGCAAGTGTCATCAGAAAAACAGGATTAGGACTCCTTCCTGAAAGTCCTCATCCCCCTTTTTGCCTGTCTTTGAGCGAGCTTTGGTCAGATCATCGGTCCGCTTCCCTTTCCTGTACATAGATTTTGCTATGGACATAGTCACAACTTTCGGTAATGTAAATGCAAAACGCTACTACGTGAACTAACTTAAGCTACTAATTTACATTTGTTTACAATTGTTAGCTAGTAACTAATGTAGATTAGCTAGCTATTACATCTGATAGCTAATGTTAGCAACACAAACCCCAAAACCGCTAGAAACGGCTAGAATAATTTACATCTATCATCATTCAATTCTTTGTTTTGATAGCCATAAGGTAAAATCGAATTTTGGCCAAGTGTCATATGCAAATAGCAAGAGCTGAAATGTTGTGATTAAGCTAAAATGTGTCACAATGTGTGTTAGTTTTTAGTTTTTTTATTGAAAAATCAATTTGTGATTTGATCATTCCAACATAATTGTGAATCACAATATCTATCAAAGTTATGGTGCCATATCTTGCAGCCATAAAGGTAAACCAGAAATGTGCACACGCACATACATGATTGGCCAATGTAGTGCATTGCTGGATGACAATGCATTTGGTTGCAGCAGAAGTCAAGTTCATTTGTTTTGCTGGATTAACCTGCAATTTCTCTGCAGAGTCTGGCGCACTGTGCCAATGCAGTGCTCTGAAATGAATAAGAAGGCTGTTTTTTTGACACTTTGCTATTATCTATCATTTGATTTTGAAAGCCTCTGGATCTCCTTTGGTTTGGATCAGGGAGACTGAACTACATGTGTGAACACAGACTTTACGTAGATTTAGTTCAGGTTTTTAAAAATTCAACCACAATAAAAGACATAATGAGCCTGTCGACTCAACAGCAGACACCACTGCTGTATTCAAAGGGCAGAGCTGGTCTCCTACCTTGGTTTGGGCTCCATTACTGCAGTCAGAAGTCAGCGTCACTCTTTAGTTCCGGCAGCTGGACACGCACTGCTGCATCCCGTCTGCATGTGTCAGCTCAGGTAGAGGCAAAGCTAGACGTGAAGTGAAGTGCTGAAAAGCTGCCTGAACAAGTGATTGGTGGTTGCACTGTTTGTTCAGAGGACAGAGTTGTAAAGCAGAGGGAGCATGTGGCTGATGCACAGCCAGCTCCTTATTGATTCTTCCTTGATTACCAGCTGGAAAGTTCAAGAGTCTCCAAACATAGCACACTAAAATCACTTTATTCTTTTAACTACTTTTATATATATATTTTTTTTTTTTCAGATTAGACAGCTGTAACACTAATGGTATGATATTAGTAGTAGCTGTCATAATATTAAAGCAGTATTAGCAGTAATCTGAATATTTTTGGTCATATATGGCAGTATATTGCTTGTGTTATTATTAGAAGCATTGTTATTTTTTTTAAATTGCCTGTCCAATTATCCAGTGATTCTGTGAAACTAGTCAGAAAACTACCTCCTCAAGTTAATATTAACAATAAACATAATTTCAATCAGCTGTCATCTGTCTGTCTGCTTTAGATCACCTATGGAAGGCAGAGAAATATGCATGGGGTGGCCAGAGGGTGGCATAAGCAATCACATATATGAATATTTGCTTGGAAAAGCCCCAAATTAAGCTATTAGAACTAAAGAAAATGACATTATTGTGACAAATTAGTAAAGCATTGACTAGAAACATCTAAATGTGGTATTAGAAATCAACAAGTTGTTTTATTTCCAAATGCCATTTTTATATTTATCACCATAAACATAACAGATCAAAATGTGTTCATTTCTGTCTTATAACACGTTATAGTAAACACTAATCGGAATTAATGTGTTCAATTTGACACCAAACTGTGGTCAGGCACTTTTTTTTAGCATGTCATGCTACCCCTCTAGATCCACCACGCAGAGGCAGCGCTGTTTACCTAATATGTGTGTGTTTGTGTGTGTGCGTGTACATACTGTACACTGGTAATAATGTGACCAGGATGTATGACACTGCCACAGTTAACAAATCCACCCCTGGTAAACAGAGGTGTCACACCCTGCCAGTCAGAGAGGATCAGCAGACACCCTCTTATTACATAACCATGGACCTCATGTACAATGACAAAACTGAAAACTAATTCACTATATTTTCATCACATTCTGACTTGTCAGCATAAAGTTGGAGAATGACATATTTTCTTTTAATGTATATTGAATCTCAAATCAAAAAGATGACATTAGGATATTACCATATTATTATCCCCTATTATTACCCATTTCCCTCTTTTTCAGTATAGTAGACTCCCCCCTTATTCCACCTTTTGATACCCAATATTACCCATTTTTGCCCCATTCTAAAAAATGTATCACAATATTACCGCTAATTATTATCAAGATATTAGCTGGTTATTATATTTCTATATAATTACCATGGTCTTACACTGTTGTTCCTACAATATTAACACTCTATTTGCCTTATTATTGAGCTGTAATGTTAAGTGCTTATATTATCTGTTCTAGATTACTACTGCACGACAGGGCTGTGTAATATGACGATATAATCGTAATAAAATCGTGTGACAAAATAAAAAAGCGTTTTCATGCTCTATCATTTATTTTGTTATGTCGGAAAGCACTCTCTTTTTGGCAAGATTTTTCATCATTTGGACGTTGCTTTGCTTTTTTAGGGCAGGGCTACCTTGTGATTGACAAGTCACTCTCAGTGAGTCCGTCCAAACTCGAATAAAACTGTGAAACTAGGCAGTGCTGATCAAATATGAATCTAGATTCTGTTACTGACCAGACACTGTTTCCTGCTGCGGACAAATCGACAACTGAACGCGCAGTACGTCACAACTGCTGGCTTAAAAAAAAACGACATTGCAACGGCAATAATGTCAAACAACTCCACAAACGTTTTCCATTTTGTTACATGCTTGATTGAAAAGTTCCACAAAGGTTCAAAGGACAAAAATAATGTGGGCAAGCACCTTTATTTGATGAGTCCATGTGGTCATTTTATATAAACTAGTAATTTACAGAGAATGTGCTGTACTGTGGTAAGTATCGTTATCTGGATGTGAAATTACCTGTATCAGAATATGGGATTTTGGTAATCTTGCTACTACAGCCCTACTGCACGATATCCTCTTCAGAACATTCTTCAGCATATCAAAACTAAATTGCTTTTGCAAAACAAAACTATAGTCTTTGAAACCCATAGTTAACGGTACACTTGAAAGTAACACATTTATTTTCTTTTTTTTCACAGTGACTGGAGCATAAGTGCTTTTACAAAAATGTGATCACAATTCCACAATCCAATATTTTCAATATATGAATGACTAATGTTTAATCATTCTAAGACCAGAAAGTTCAGTACAAACTAATACACATATCACTTTTTTTTGCCAAAGTCAAAGTCAAAAATAACACAATTTGCATAATAAGCTCAGATGTGCTGCTTTAGTTAGTTAGTTAGTAGTTAGTAAGATCAGTTTAAAAGTCACCAGATGTGCATCATGAGTCTGACACTGTTTTCCAGCCACACCCATGATATAGTTCAACACTGGTAGCTTCCCAGCACGATTGCAGTCATCTATTGGCGATCACTGAGCAGCAATACAATGCCTTGCTAAAGGGCACATTATTGGTACTTAAAGAGAAGGGTCAAAGTGTTTCCATTTTCAAGTTTTCTTTCCATATTTGTCTTTTGGGGGCCACAACGCTGCTCCGCTAACCATTAATTGACTTGTTTTACGTGACCAGTCTCCATCTTCTTTTTTTTTTCAGTCTTGACAGCAGGATCTCTCATAAATATCTGGAAAAGATGAAATGAGAAAATTAACAAGAACAAAGGGAAACTTTTTCATTTGAGTGATAGAAGTTTATGATAACAACCTGACTTAAACCAATGTTCAGTCAAGCTGCCCAAATCTTACCAGAGTTCTTTGGCTTGCTATAAAATTATTGGTAGCACACTTATGAACACAATTCTATGCACATTCTCAGTTCAAAATCTATAGTTTATTCAATATTTACAGTGTTTGTAGGCAGAACACAAGCACTTAAGCACACAGTCTAATGCTACAGACTGTTTCATCAGGGCTGAAACTCAAAGCCACATCATACCAGAGGAACCAGAACAACAGAATGCACATTCTTTAATAAACTAACTGACTGACTTAAAGGAGCAAATGTAACCACCACTGGAGTAAAACAAGTACTGAAAATCCCACTTGTACAAATAGTTGCTCTTAGATGGCTGCTTGTATTTAGGGTAAATCTGGTATGATGTTAATGCAGCGTACTGTATTGACATGCTGACAGAGGTAAAGAATGGTGTGGTCTGATACTCTGACATGTCAGGCTATAAGAGTCCTATCTGAGTAACATCCAGACAGACTAAATTAAACTGCACTCTGGGACATTACTTAAATTCCCAAAACACGAACCACTTAAAGGTGGGGTCTGTCATTCCCAGGTCGACAAACACCAACACTTTAGGTGATGGTAAACAGGAAGCAAACAAAGTAGCTCGGAGCGTGCCACACAACAGGTGGCGTTCATGCTCCCAGGTCATCAAATACCAACACGTTGGGTTGCCAAAACGCCAGTATTTGACGCCCCGATGAAGGAGATTCAACAGTCAACTATCTTTCTCCAGAATCACTCACCCCACCTTTAAATGTTGACTCTGGAAATCTAGTTTTGACATGAATCATCAGATGACGAAGGAGGTAAAGTAATCTTTCTCTTACATGCACACTACTCAACATTCTATTTTACCATCACATCAATTGGCCCATCCGCAAGCGAACTAGCTAGCTAGTATCAGCAAATCTACATTAATGTTTAGCTAGCAGGTTAGCTAGTGTTTTGCTAAAATTAGCTACCTAGTTAGCTTGTGTTTTAGCTAGCAAACTTAAGATGTGACTATATGTCGCTTTTACATCTTCTTAAACATCTTCAAGTTTTGTTTTTGGTTTCAACATAGACAGGCCTAGCACATAGCATATGTTATCATAGGAAAGGAGAAAGTTAACAGAGGTTCTGACTGAGGCTTGCTCAACTGTTATTGGAGCATAGAGCAAAAAGGGGCGGGACTTAGGAAGGAGGGGCAATTATGAGTACAGACAGTTTGTCTCCACTCATATCATTAATGTGATGCTGTTGTAGCATGACAGTCAAAAAGTCAACAGATTCTTAAACCAGAGATGGGTGGGAGTGGTACAACACTGGAATGAAAATCACAGCATATGGGCACCTTGATCGTATATGATTTGAGATTCATTGCCTTATCCGGGTATATACACTAGATAATATATTACATGAATATAATTTGCATTGGGAGGAAAAACTGTGAAGTTGTGAACAAGTCACAAAAGTGTGTCGATAAGTGTGTTTTCTTAATTGTTTTGTTTAAATAGGTCAAGATAGATGCCATAACTACATGGGTACCAATTCCCCCTCATATTATCCTTTCCGAGAATCAACAGAATAGCCACAACAGGCAGCAGTGACACCTTGTAGTTTAAAAGTGAAGATGCAAGCTCAGACAGGCAGCCACTGGCAGCTTTGGCTGGGCTTCCTACCTGGGATGTGTTGGCTAAGAGATGCTGGATGCACGTGGTTTCATAGGAGGAACTGCAGCATGAAGACGGCAGCTGACAGATGAAAAAGGGTTGTTTGGGAGAAGGTGCGGAGGGTTGGTGTCAGAACGTAGATGGTAAGGAAACTGCTTGGTTGGTAGGTTGGATCACACGATTTTGGTGGAGGTAACTTGGATTGGAAGATTAAGTATTCAACAATGGCTAGTGGACTTTGGCCGGGCAGAGGGTTTCGAGAGGGCTTCTGTTTATTTTGCCAGGAGCACGGTGTATCAGAGTAGGCTTGGGAAGCATTTAGTTTGATGCTTGAAATGAAAGTTTTAGAGGAAGTGTAAGGACAAGGGAGGACCTCCTGATGAGGTGGTTGGTTGATTTTGATGGAGCAGAAGATTTTAGAAGAGGTGGTTAGCGGCCAAGTTTAAGTAAAGATTTCAGATGCTGATCTTTGTAGGAGCACAAGATGGATAGCTGAAAGCATCAGGAGACTATAGACAGGGTTGTTACAGGAAGAGAACAAAGACCCCTCATTGTCTTCAGGCAGATGAAAAGTTGGATGAAGAAGAGTTTGTTCTGCAGGAAGCGTTCGAGGATTTGAAGGCAGGTAGGTAGATGGACGGGTAATGGAGGGCTGAGAGAAAGAGCAAGGGATGAATGGGAGGGGTCGAGTTAGGCGTACAGTGCATCAATACCTGCAGGAGTGAGAACCAGGGCTTGTAGAAGGTCAGACAGAGAGACAATCCCTCTCACCACATCGCCACTGTCGACCAACACCAAACGATGCACCTGACAGAAAAACCCAACAGGATTCGGTTATTGTGCTTCTGTGGCCGATCGAGACAAACTGGAAAGGTTACAGTTCTAACCAGCACATGGAAATGCTGTCAAACTATATTTACCACTGTGGCTTCACAGTCTGAAGTCTGAAAAGTAGCTTTGTATAAAAATCTGCCTCCCTTCTCTTTCTGGAAAATGTTTGTGATCTTGGGGGATAGTTACACAAATGTATCCAATCAAATGTGATATGGGGCAATTACTTAACCTCGCCCGTCATATAAAAGTATACCTGACCGTTAGCTTGTAGGTCGTAGTAGCTGGCAGACTACTGATGATATGGATCATATCCTCTTCATCCTAGTAATGAAGGAGGTGTGGGTTGAGGCCAGCAGTCCTCTAAAGCTTAGGGCTGTTGCAATAACAATAACGAAATATTGCCCTATCAAACGCACATCCACAACCGCGTGTGACGTTCAGTATTTGTTTTGATGGGTATTGATTTGACTTTTTGTAAATATCTGCTGGCCACTAATTATGTAATCACTGAAGCTAAAGACTCTCTAACTGCGCCTCACTGTGTTTAAAGTATGAGTATGAGACATTTGCATCCTACGTTTGAATAAAGGAATGTCAGTTACCTCAGCCCCTGCGATGCGGTCGATGATGGTCTCCAGTGTTTCGTAAGGGTAACACTTGAGGACTCCCTCCATGCAGCAGGCTCTGGAGGCTATGGCCTCCTGCATCGACATGTTCAGGTTGTTGTAGTTTTTCTGGGCTGCGAGGTTCTGAATGACGGAGAAAAAAAGAAAGTGAAAACAATATTGTTCTTGTTATTGCTAGTAGACAACACTACAGATGCAGTTCTATGGCAGCTCCAGTTTAAATGATACCGTTACCTTCACTGTTTATATGCTACTATACTGTCAATATCTACAGTCTAGATATTGAACTAGTTTCTTCCTTCAATCAGTTTAGTCCTAACCAAGCTGTTGCTAATACAATATAGAGTGCTGCAGGAATGAGTCCTAAAACCCAGAACTCAGTTAGCATCTTAGCACTTCCAGTTCCCTCACCTCGAAGTCAATGTGTTTTTGTTTAGATGCCTGAAATAAGGTTAACAAAAACTTAAAAGATTTTTACGTTTTATTCAACAACATAAAATAGGTCAGTAAATATCCCATCTGTGAATTCTGAAGCTTTTACGTGTCTTAAAAAAGGTGGTTGCTAACAAGCAACTCAGTGAGACTACAGAGGTTGTCGGTGACATTAAACGTATCGACTTATCTACTCCGCCTTTACAGCCTTGTTGTGTTTATTCTATCGCAAACTATTCTAACTCAAACTTTACAACTGGTAGATTTTAATTCCATGATTTAATTACAAGTGCTACTGTGGTGTAGTTTGTTTCTAGCCTAACGTTAGCTAATGTTGTAAAAGGAACCAAGCGTTGCTAATTATTTAATTTGTTTTTATCTGTTTCTTTGTTTGATTATATTAGTTCAACATTTTTTTAAATAATACAAAATACAAAAAAAACTTGACTGAGCATGACATGGGAGTTAAGGGGATCACAAGATTTATATGTATATGATTGTTTCAGCTAAAAAACATTGCAGTGATACAGAATGCGTAAAATTAACTTACAATCACATCAAACCTGGAGTACAGCGCCACCACTTTACCTAAAGAGGAGACAGACATACAGACAGACCAAATAAAAGGACAGATACAGTTCTTTACTGCACGCAAGTTGACAAGTGCAAAAGGAAAAACTAATTTTAACACTCTGCTGGCCTGAACATTTCAATACAGTGCGTTTGCTTTTAAAATAAAGTAAGCTTTAAACACAGCCTCATCATTTTAAAGTCATTAAATGGATCCAAAGTGTTTTAGAATGAAACCGTCCATTTACCAAACTGTAATTCCAACACATAAAACAACACAATTTACCCTTTACCAGTTGGATAAAACCAGCAAATGTCAGTGTGGTATGAGACTACCTTGCTCATTGACTACGGGCAGAGCGGACACTCTTCTCTCCACAAAAATGGACAGAGCCTCGTAGACAGAGGCTGACTCCTGGACTGTCGCGATCTGTCTGAAGGTACCGATCGCCACTTCACTGATCCGCTTCTGAAGAAACCTGGGTTTAGGAATCATAGATCCCTGGAGGGGAGGAAAGAGGACTAGTATGCAATACCTAAGAAACAAATCAAAATACCAACCAACAATTGCACACTGAATATGCAGTTCTCCATGGCTACAAAACACAGTTTTGTTGTGCAGTAAGTATGAGGGATTGGAATCAATAATAAATGCAGATAAATGCACAAAACCTTGTGACAGGCTCCAGAGAAGCGTTACAAAGGGAAGGAGCCTTACAAAGATGTGGAGGAACTTGAGGATGCGTTTGTGGGTGAGGATGTGGAGGACATTCCCTGACAGCGGGTCGATGACCGGCAGCCGGTGTATCTTATTCTTCAACAGGGAGTAGATGGCCTCAAACAGACTGCAGAGACAATTAAAGTCAAAGATGAAAGTATCACATATGTGTCGAAAACTGAAGTTACAACTGCTCTGATATTTCATTTGATTTATGATAACCCTTTTTATATATCACCATTTAAAACTACCGTTACAAAGAAACAAGGACAAATGAAATCAAGCAGGAGAATAATCAAACACATCACTATGAAATAAGAAAAACAAAAAATAATAAAACATCTATAAGTAAAGATAAATTACAATCACTAACAGATAAAACAATCTGCATTTGAAAGTGTAACTATGAGGCTGGTTTCACCTGCAGTCGGGAGTGATGCTGATCAGTGTGTTGAGAGAGTACTGTAGATAGATCTCTGTTAGCAGAGGGAAGCACAAGTTATTAACAAACTACTAAATGTGCTATAGAGGGTTTTTAAGACATACAATTCTTGTTTTCTTCAACACTTTCAACACTACATGAGGATATAGTTGTGTTGTACAGACCTCTCCATGTCTCTATCTTGTGTTCTTCCAGCTCATAGATCTGAACCTGCAGACAAACACAAACATCATCTAAGATCAGACAGTGATGGTCCAAACCCTAGTAGGGCAGGTATCTCTGTCTAATCTTTTAGAAAGTATGGATGTGGTTTATATCTGTGATTTCCCTGCTTTATATATATATATATATATATATATATATAAGAACCATACTTATGTGCCTAATGTGTATGGTAAAATTATCAGGTTTCTGCAGGTTTTAACAGGTTAACTTGAACTTTTTAACACCATTATGAATGCAATTTAATACCTAGTTTTTGTATGAAGGAAAACTGCTATTTGTTCCATGATGGTTTTGTTTTGTAGTTGTTAAAGCTATTTTAAGAGTGAGACTGAACAATGCTACTTTATACAAGTAACTTTTGGATTTTAGGCTTTTTAAGAGCCTGATAATGTTGCTCAGCTCACCAGAGGAGACTTGTAATAACGATGGAGAATGTTGATGAAGTCAGTGATGGTCAGCATACCTGCAAGTACACAAAAAAAACACACACACACTGGAAACATTAATGTTAGTTTTTTTAACTCGCACTGGTACAAGAGAGATGTGCATGTGTTTTCTGCTAGCTGTTGCACCTAACTCTGAGTTCTTTACAGAGAATCAGCAGAATCAAAGATGACCTTCTGTGAATGAGTGTTGATGAGCAGCACAAAAAAATGTAGGCCTGTAGTTTCAATCTGGTTTCACTTACCATTGTTGAGGGCATTATGGATGATACTACTGATACTTTCTATCTTTAAATAATGAATCCATTACCATTTGTGAAAGATATATTCAACTGACAATCACTTACCCCTTCTTTGGAGAACCTTTAAGTCTGGATGCACAGAAATGTTTGTATGTATGTATCAAATATCTTAATTAAAGGCCCAGTGTGCAACATTTAGGAGGATCTATTAAAATGGAATATATACTGGTAGGTATGTTTTCATTAGTGTATAATAATAATCACCTGAAAATAAGAATTGTTGTGTTTTTGTTTCCTTAGAATGAGCTGTCAGACCAGACAACAGACAACCAAAACACTGGCTCTATAGGGCGCCATGGTGTTTTTGGCAAGTTTCGCAGCACTGTATTACACTTGCCATGCTAAAATGCTAATGGTAGCGTGAAGATCAAAGCTGAGCCAAGCGCAGCTTAGGCTGACAAAGTACATAATGAAAGTCAGCCAACTCGGACGATGTAGAGCTGAGCTTGACTAAATCTGAGATCTCTTAAAATGGCCACGATAAATTTGGAACGTAACCTTTCCTCTGGCATCACCCTCAGGCTAAGCTTTATATTGTGAATACCTACTGGTGGCAAAGATCTAAAAACAGCAGATACATTTTATTCATCCAACAATTTTGTTGTCTGGGTGTAGGAAGAAACTGAACCTCAACAGGCTCGTTCTGACTGACTGGTTTTAACCTCTGGGATTGAGTCAGTTCACTCAGGCTGATTGACATGCACTTGACATGCATGTTTAGGTCTGTTGCCGTGTCAGTTCCAAGCAGAACATGAGTACCTACGGACCAGCCAAGTGTCATGACGATCCGTTCTGTGTGTTCAGTGAACTCAGTGAGGTGACAGTGTAACACAAATGTCTTGTAGTTGACCTGCTTTCCTCTAAATGTTAGCACACAAACAGGACCTGGATCATTTGAAACCACATATCCATAGCAAGGAAACCTGAACCTCCAAAACTGCGGGTAGGAACCCAATGTAGGTCACACAGCTATTAACTGATAGCATGTTTAAGATGCTTTATAAAATTAGACTCGGATTAAATTTAAACATGTAGGTTTTCATGGTTTCCAACATTGTGTTGCACCCAACCCTTTTTTTATGGAGAGTTTAAACAGGAAGTAGCTCAGCAAGAAATAGGAGGATCATAACGAGTTCATTATTTAATTAGAATTTCTAATTAAGTGGTTTAGATCACAGTGTTAAACTGGACTTTAAGACCAAACTGTTTGCAATGACATCAGGCAAGTGGGTCACAAAACAAATTCTTTTATTTAAGACCTTCTTAGCTGCCATGCAAGCGAGATGCTGTAGTCTCTTGTTGTGGCAGTCCACCTTTTTCGCAAACTTCAAAGACATTCCTTTCAAAAACTACCCCAGTTTATCTATCTTGCTCTCAAACGTGCAGCGAACTTAATCGGAGATTCGCAAACATTCTCCAACGCCACCCAACTGAACTGTCTTTACCAGCCGCCACTTTCTCATGAGTGCCCGATCGTTGCTGAGCATGTGCAACTCTTGACCCTTAGCTACTTCCATCCTTAGCTCCAGAAAAAAAGGAAGTGTTGAATTCTTTCTCACCACTTTTCCAATCTGGCAAGTGAGTTGCTAGATTTACTTGTCCATCTTACTTGCCCTGGGCTATGGGAAAATCCTTATTATTGAGCCCTGCGTCATAGCTGAGCACTGTTAGTCACCAGTGAGGAGAGCTCAAATACAGGTACAATCAGATCATTCGTGTACTGAACATCTCTAATGAGTGTATGCATATGAATAGATATGTATTATGGCTCACCCACAAAACACTTAAGCTTGTTGTCCCACAGTGGCGCTGCCCTCACACCATTAGCCACCAGAGCAAAGAAAGCCTTCTTCACCTGGCAAAATAAAAAAAACAAAGTTAAAATATCTAATAATTTGCTAAATTAAACCCAAAATAAAACAAAAATGTGTCCCATACCTGTAGTGTTGTGTCAAAAATGACCAGTTTGGAGCTGGTAGGAATGGCATCGTAGCAGCAGTGACTCTTCATGAAGTTCGTGTATATGAACGTGTCGGGGTCAGTGCCTGCAGGGGGCGCAAGAGCATGTGTTGCATATGTACAGCCACCTGTAAGTACGGTTGAAAACACAAACAGATACCCATGTTAAAAGCAAATATTGACAACCTTTTTCACAATAATCATGATAAATGTTGGGTGTTTGTATTTGGGTTTCATAATCAAGTCTATCAGGCTTGAGTGTGTTTGCTCTCAGGATCAATTTCCTTTACTGTGCACATGCAACACACTGCAGAATAGAGTTATTAAGTGCAGTTATTATAGGAGCTATCGTCAAACAAAGTTTGATACCAAATCTTCCCTTCTTTACCTCTGCTCTTCATTGAAAGAACATCCTCTTCCTCATCCTCTTCCTGGTCCATCTCAAATAATGGGACCTGGAACAGCAAGCGCATCAACAGATCACTAACAGCCAAGAGTTTACGCTTTAAAGACTGATTTAACTCTTACACACAGCTCTGCAATGACCCCACATCCATGTTTGGCCAAAATGAAGGTCTTCTGCTCTACAACAGCCTTACACAGCTATCTGAGGAGTGGTGGTTAATGTCCATCTGTTTCTGAGTGGTAACTCATTTCCTCACTGATCTATTTGACTAATGTTGTGGGCAGATGATGTCAGATTGTATCTGGTTACAAGCTAATCACATGCAAGAGTTTTTACTCTGCCGCATGCAGTCGCTGGGTTCAGCTGTTGTTGGTCAAGAAATATGAGAAAACTATAGAACGTGGATTTTAAGCAACCTCAGATCAATCAACCGACTCAAGCTGTTTTCAGAAGGACTGGACGTCTTTAGGTCGACATAATTGCTGTATTGCAGCCCATGGTACAGATGCTACATCATCCCCTGGGCACCTCTCCTTTTTAAAAAAAAAAAAAAATGTGTGGGCTTTCATTGCCTCCAATTGATAGTGACAGCTGAAGCAGCAAAGAGGGTAGAGGCAGAGAGGGGATGAAACGCAGCAAGGACCCAGTCCTGGCACATAGGGCGCCAGCCGCACCAGGCGAGCCAACAGGACACACCTCCCTTTTGAAGGTATATTTAGTACAACTCACTAGAAGAAAAAAACGTATATATCCTGGATATATATCCTGGAAGGACTACAACTTCCAGGATGCCTGGGAACTACCAGAGATTCCCAGAAACAGCTGGAGGAAGGGGCAGCAGCTCTGTTCCCACCATGAACTTGAGTGATTAACTGAGGAGGGGTCATATGGAGGGACTGTCTATGTGACATGTACAGTTCACTGTGTCATATACCTGCATTGTCACTTTGCAGCTTTATCATTGTTTTTTAAACTTGGCGATGGCGATAAACATTGACACGAATAGCAAATACGGGCAAAATGCCAAATGAGAAAATGAAGATGGAATACTAAAACTTAAAATGATCACAATGATTCCAACAAGGTTTCAGGGACTGTTGACATCTCACAGCTTAACAGCTACACACATAGTATCAGAGCATGCACACAAACAGGCTCAGCTGACCAGAAATAGGCAGAGCTGCGCTACATTCCAATGGTGAAACCAAGTTTAACAAAGACAGCAATATTGCTTTATCTGCTTTTAATTAGCATGATGACATTTAATGAGCGTCACATGAAACAAAAACTTGCCTCTTTGTATTTCTCTGCAGTGTCTATTACACTAATCAGAATCAGAAACTACTGTTCCTCAAATGCAACATGCCATCTGAAATTAACCTGTGCTGTATTTATTTGGGTTCATTTTAGCGTATATTTTAATGCATTCACTCATGTTGTCTGTATTCTCATTATAAGCTCATGAGGCATTGGTATATCCTATGAATAACATAAAGCAAAGTGTTTTCTTTTGGTTTTCCAACAGCTCGGGGAACAAAAGCAGCATGGACACTGCAGTGGGATTTAACTTTAAAGGTTTGGTTTACAGCTGCAGCTGAAATTGTTGCTCAGCATTTGTGTCACTGCTGATATAACTGACATATCATGTTATTTAACTTTTACATCACTTTTAATTCCCAAATATGTGCCTTAATTACATTGAATCGGATATGTCTGTGAGAGTCACGTTTTTGGCCACAGTAACTCAGCCAGTGCAAAATTGTCCACAAGCTCGATAATTTTGGTGAGTTAGTCATAATGGCCGAAAGTATGGAAAAAGTTAGTATCACCCATGTAGCCAAGTATGCTGACGTGGAAATAATTTGCACTTAGTCGGGTAATTTCTGCCGCTATGGGGTCTCTAACATCAGAACAATAACAAATACATAACTCAACGAAATATAGAACACAAGTCTAGTTGTTTTTACATTTTAATGCAAAAATGTTCCATATTATAAAGTACATGTTAAGGTCCAGTGTTTAGGATTTAGTGGCAATATTCTAGCTGTGCAATTCACCTTCCTCTTCCAAGCACAAAGGATAAAATACAGTAACTGTAAAGGGACGGTTTGTCCCTTCTGGGCTACTGTAGAAACATGGCGCGACGTCTGCATAAAATCTGCTCATTCTAAGGTAACCAAAACCTAACAATTCCTATATTCAGGTGATTACGCGTACCTATACATATTATATTCAATTTCTGACATAAGATCTTTACAATGTTACACACTGGGCCTTTAAGGCACTATTTGGTTTTATTCATGACCTCATTAGTTTAACAGGGTTTTGATTAATGTATCATGATGATCATTGTGAAACATCAGCTGAAGTGCCTCTTAAGAAAATGCTCAGATCTAAATTATTGTGCCACTAACAGAGAGTAGGGAAAGTACTGGTAGAGGTCCCCAACTGCGCCAGCTAGTCTGACCTTTCACCTCCCCACCCAAGTATTGCTTCAGCATTAGTTCAAAGGTCTCTGTCTGGCCGGAGTCAAATGCAGATAGTAATTTTCCTTATTTTTATTCATGTACACGCTTACAGATTGTGAATATGCCTCACTTTAAAAAGGTAAACATCAACAGATGATGCAAAAACAAAAAAATTGCATGTTTATTTCTTTGCAGCTTCTCAGTTACAAAGTCATGTCCAAACACACACCAAGACACACAGACGCACAGACGCCCAGCAGAAGTGGAGGGATCAGAAGGGGGTGGGGGTGAGTCAGCAGAGTGTCTTACCTCTGCAAGAGGCTCCATGGCTGGGAAAGAGGAGCGGGAGGTGTGCCTCTGTGGAACCAGACCAACTGGTGAAAGCTTGGACTACAACAATCGTCCCGCTGTCCAACTCAGACATCTGGCAGGATCTGCTACCATGTGAGATTAAAGAAGTGATGAAGGCATTGTGAGGAAGGGCAGAGAGGGAGAGGAAGGAAAGGTATTGGACGCAAAAGGCGAGGGAGACGAGGGAATCTGCGCACCACCGGTCAGCTTCAGTCAGCTGGGTCTGAACGTCTGGGAAAGACTGAGGTCTAAATCTGGACTGAGGGGTGAGAGGCCTGTGGCATTCACAGGAAGAGAGAGAGTGAGAGAGAGACAGAGGAGGGACAGTGGGAGGGGACACAAGTACAGGGAGAGTTGAGGGGGCTAAAGACAGACATACCCTATATGTTTTCATGGAGACAGACATTATATCCAGTAGTGAGAACTTCAGGTGGCAACAGCATTAACATTTGGAGAGAAACCAAGAGCGCAAAGCTCATTCCTGTCACAGACAACCCAGGAATCTTCTGATGACAGTGCTGCATCAGCAATAACATCTAATCAGCTGGGATTCATTAACTGAGACTGACTGACAGAACTAAAGGAAGTTAATAAAACACTGATGATTTGCTTTGGAAAATGCAATCTGTGATTATAATTGACCCTTCCGAACCAATGTCCGGCCCCTTTTTGGAACCTCGGTTGACTCGGTTAGCTCGTCTATGTTGAGAGAACAACCAAATTTTGAAGATGGTTAAGCCGCATGTAGTCCTAAATTAGCTGTTAGCAAAATGCTAGCTAACTAGCAAGGTAATCTACATAAATGATGATGATTAATGTTGATTAACTAACTAGCCAGCTAACCAGCTAGCTAATTATTAATGTAGATTAGCTAGCTATTTAGCAAACATTTTACTACCATTATAGATTATAATATCCATAGGTATGTTTTCATTAGTGTATAATCAACTGAATATAGGAATTGTGTTGTTGTCACCATAGAATGAGCTGTTTTAATCTATGCTGTGAATTGCATTCCATGGAGTCGGCCATGTTGAACCAGCATGTTTCTACAGACGCCCAGAAGTGAAAAACACTGGCTGTAGATCGGGCCTTTCACGAGTTTCACAGCCAGCATGGTTTCTCTTACACACACACACACACACTATATATATATATATATATATATATTTTTTCATTCTTTAGCTAGCTATTTACATCTGATAGCTAATGTTACTAGCTAACCGAGAAGAGTGACAAACTTTCCACGGATGGTGAGAACAGTGCAGATGTGTTCATTCTACTACTGAAGACGCAAACATGGACGTCATTAAGACTGCGCTGTTTGTCTGCAGTCTGCCACCGTAAAACCAAAACAATGAGCTGAAAGACGATAAGATGCTCCCTTTCTCTGTAGAGGGGAAGTGCAAAGGGAGGTAATAGTTCTCTGTGGGTTTGTCACAATGAGTGGCAGCTTTCACAGTAGTCATTTGATCAACTTAAACAAAAGGAAAAGGAATTTAGATCAGTGCAGCTTTAAGGCTTTGCCAGTCCTACTGTGGGAGACGTTCAAGTTTCATTGGGCCATTACAGGCCAAACTATTTATAGACACTGACTGACCCGAGTAGGCTATCCCCTCCTATTTATGAGTTATGAGTTTACATGCAGCCCTAAAATGTACTAAAATATTTATCAAAACTTTGTTTTTAAAAATATACAGAATTGACCAACACACCTTAACAAATCAGCTATAAATGTATTTATGCTGTTATTATTTATTGCACCTTTAATTCCAACAGAACATCCTCTGCAAAAACTAAATTGTTTAGAAATTAACTATGCAAATAAATTAAATACTATGCTGTGCACAGCAAATCCCCACAATTCTCCTGTTCATGTTGGTGGTAAATGTTGCTGGCTAAACGCTACATTATTTCTCCAGATGTTCCTTTTTCAATACATGACAGCAGCCAGAAGGTAGAAAGTACAGTTCATGTTGTATTTTTTACATACAGCAAGCAGCAGTGTTATAATATATGCAGTTAGTCACTGCTGGTTAGAGAGAGGATCTCAGATATTAATAGTTTACAACTGCTTGAAGAGTCCTGACACGCATTCAGAATACCACAGGCTGGTTCCTGTGTCTGCACTCTCCGTCTAACAATTCTCTACACAGTGTGCGTGTGTGTGCGTGTGTGTGTCTTTCAAACACATGCTGTTGCAGCTGCACACAGGGTCATCATTAAAAAACTGTTACATGAAGTCAAAAATCTTAACTTAGAGATAATTTAATAAACTTAAAATAAAAACGAAACCTATTAAGTCTGCATGACTGTTAAAAATACATAATACAGTATTACCTTACAGTATTACCTTATATACAGTAAAAAGTTCCCTAAACAGGACATCTGTGCAAAATTCAACCAAATCACTCCATGCACACATCTTGCAGTTACTGAGATTTGTGTATAATGTGAATTATCCATAAAATGTTACTTCTTCAGGGGTCATCAGTTTACTAAATGATAGAAAAGTATATAATTATATGATTTTAAGTAAATTTGCAAGGCAAAGCAAAAGACCCCAGGTGGCACACAGAAGTGAGGACCCCAACGCCATCTGATGGCCACTTTCAGAAGCTTAAAATGCTCTAAAAGCCAAAAGTGGAAAATGTACTCATGACTGATAAAAGTAGGTTCCTCCAGTCTTGTGACCGTTATCAGATACCAAAAAATAATTATGACAAAGAATGGTTGTTTAAAGGTAATTGTAAGGAACACCCTTATTTACAGTCTAAAAACATATGTTTTAATCACCCAATCATGACACTTGAACCACAAATAACTTTTATTTTTAAATTGTCATCCTGAGCAATTCATACAGCCCTTTCACATGGACATTTTACAATTGTGAGTTAGTAAAAAATATTGTCATCTCCACTTGCTTATAATATTTCTGTTAAGTTAAAAACAACCTCAAACATAGTGTTATCATTTAACTTTATAACATGTATCAACTCTGAAATGCAGCCAGTAAACATGACGGTGGTGTGGCTGCAGTGTAAAGAGGAACCTGCTGAATGCATTGGAGCAGATTGTAACTTCTGTCATATGAAAGCATTAAGACCCCAGACTGATTTTTCCCCAATAGAACAGTCATTTATAAACTCAATATTTAATGCGTCTGAGTTGTGTTGAACGACTTTTAGATACCTGTAGAATAAGACAAGTTGTAATATATGGAATATATTTAAGATGTCGTATCATAAATACGCGAAAACGCAAAACCACCTGTGATGGCCTGTTTTTGCAGACTTTGTGTTCCTTAAGGCGGATGTGAAATTAATGCCCTGTAAGGCCAACACCGTCTCACTCCCAAGTCTTCAAATACTGCCGCTTGGTTAGTGGACCTCTGCTTTAAAATATGACACTATAGGTATGTGTCAAAGTCAGGTGACGTAGTATAAAGCGAGAAAGTCTGCATATGACCCAGAAGGGGACTGCTGTTTGTGTCCTGTGTGAAACTAAAAGTAAAAACTTTGAAATACTTTAAAGTAATGTACGTATGTAATGTACTTAAGTTATGTCAGGTACATAATTTGCAATATTTTCCTAAACCTGAGGTAGTTTTTGTACCTTTTGCTAATTGTCATTTGTGAGGCAATAATGCTAAACATTCACTGCTACCAGCTTCATATATTTGAGGATTTGATATATGGTGCATTTCTGTTAATGGGACAAGCAGCCACTTTGAAGAAGCCGCATTGGGCTCTGGGAGACTCTGCCTTTTTTCCCTCCATTTAATCAAATTTTATGGACTAAACGATCAGTTATTACATAAAGTAATGAAACAGATGACTGATGAATGAAATGAGCACTAGTTGCAGTCCTACTTGAAAGACATTTAAAGGAATTTCTCCTCTGCGATGCCTCTCTGTGTGAATGGGCCTTCGTGTGTGAGCTGTGAGAAGCATCCTGTCACTCTGTACACCAGGGAAAAGCCTTCAGACGCCACTTTGTGCTTCCACATAACATTCTGTTTTATTTAATGCACTGACCTATGTCCAAATTAGAACTATATACTATTTATACTCTTATTTCTCTTCCTATTTCATGTATAACAATAAAGTGTTAATAAAAGCTTGCATGAGCATAATGTCTGCTACATACAGACACTGCACAGCAGTTTGGCATCTGTTAGTGAATTGCATAATAAACCTAATTGGTAAACAAGTTAGCTTCCACACTTTTTCTTGTAAAATCTCAGCAGAAATTAAAGAAATGTTTTTTTTCGAATAACGTCCACTGAGATAGGAATTCCTTATGAATCAGCTCATCTACACCAGCTCAGCCTGTCAGTTTGGTACAATGGATGTGGGCTTTAAGAGAAAGCCTACCCAAACATTTTAAACTGAAAGTCTCCTCACAGTAGATGAATATTTTTGAAATAAGATAAGTTTCTTTTTCCTGAGGATACAGAAGAATTCTTGAAGTGGTTTCCTCTCAAACAGCAAACACTGAACAGCAGACCCGCTCTCAGTTTATAACCTCTGAGATTAAGTCATACTTTCTAGGAGTATTTGAACAGGAACGGAAAGACGTTTGTGTTAATAAACGTACACTGCAGGGTTAAATTCTGGTGCTCAACTTGCATTTGGCAACTTTGAAGAAATTCTCTATATATTATCATTTGTTAATAGTCACACAGAAAAACCAAAGCCCTTTTTTTATTTTGTTGGTCATTTTTTTTGTCTACTAACATGCAAGTCAAACTGATTAGTTTTCATGTTCAAGTATCTCTAACATACTGTAAGTCAACATCCTGAATCAAAGTTTGGGTGAAAACCACCAGTAACACCATCAACCAGTGATGGTCTATCCCACCCTTTATTTGGCTACGTTTTTCGCCTTTGAGTCCATTGCATAACACTTGTGCATTCAGTTGCCCAACCCCTTAACGCCGTAACAGTCTTAGATTCAAGACATGAGAGTAATCACAGTACTGTGTCATTATTTATCACAGGGACGGGAATCAAGCAACGGCTCAGCATTGTCCAATCCGTTGGATTTATATGCCTCAGATCGAGCAGATGCCGCCATGTTTTCTGACATTTGTGCATTGCTTAACGATGAAGTCCAACACTTGCGTCCACACTGCTGGAAACTCGGCGGAGAGGAAGAAACGGTCCGAAGCGTGGCTTCGTTTCACAATGAAAGATGACAGTGCTCGTTGTAATGTCTGTAAAATGATTATTTCAAGTAAGGGTGGAAACAGCAGCAATATGTTGAAACATATTTCTACGCAAAAATGGGCTCAACTTCCAGGAATGCCATGTATTTGACACTACGCACGAGTGCTACCACTTCTCCAGAAACAACACGTCTGTCACTGAGGGTCAATATCAGATGGTACAATAACATTAGCGCCATGCAGGCAGGCTCAGCTGATTTTTTTCTCATTTCATTCATTTTTAGATGATGACAGATTGTTTCCACAGCTAGTTCTCAGGCTTCTTTCACTTCAGGTTTCTACAGTCATTAAAACTGTTTTGTTTACGCTGAAAACCTGTTTAAGCGTATTTTCTTCCACACACAGAAAAGGATAAAGAATCACTAATAAGCAGAATAGATAATGTTATTGGTATCAATAAAATGTTATCAGTTCCCATTGTGTAAGGTAATGTTGGCTTTGCAGCTTTATTCTTGCTAATGTGAGTTCATAAAAACACACAGCCCAGCAGCCTGTGCTAACGCTGCTTTGCGGTGTAGGCTGTGAGGAAGCCCAGCAGGCCTTATTCACAGTTTAGTTTAGTACCAACAGCCAGCGAGGACAGACGTGTGGGAGATGGGATCTGAGGGTCTTGTTCCTAGCGGGTGTTCACCGAAAATGGCGCAGCGTCAGTGACTACAGGTACCATCCAGTTTGAGAATTTCCGAATTAAAGACTTAACTTTAGCCAAACGCTGCCCAGCAGATTCTAAAACTACAATCATTTCATTCTCTGTCAAGACGATTGCGTGGCAAACATTGGAAAAACACAGTTCTCGTTATTAAGTATCTTCCAGGCGTGTAGCTACTGGATTGCCTGCCGCGCTGCCTTACGGTGTACGGTACCCCACTGTGCCAAAGCAGTGGTCTCGAAATGAATGTCTGCTTTACGGTTGTCAAAGCTTTTTCATGCTTAAGCAACTGACTGATTTGAAAGAGTCTGCACTGCATTGCCATATAATCATGTAAATTTGACAAATGATGCAGACAGTGAAGCTCTGTGATGGATTATGTATGAGCATGTTTCAAGTCTCTGCAGCTCAGTTTTCTTACTGCAAAGAAATGACTGGAAAGCACTGGCTGCTCAGAAGCTAAGTGCATTTTAACTAAAGTTGGCATATATCAAAACATGAAAAAAACACTGGTATGGTCCTTTAAGTGTTATATTCTCACTGGTGTTGCAGTAATGGAGGAGACTTGAAAGGATACTGACTCGGAAATAGCCAATCTTTAAGTAATTCCTCCATTTCCTGCAAAAACCCCGTTAGTACATACTAGTTACTGTTCTGCTAAAGACCAAAACCTCCCTTCTACAGTGTTTGTTAAGACTGGGCTTCAAGCTTATTGTCCTAAGTACAGTACTCATTCATTTAGACATGAAAGATCAGTAGAAGGGTGTGAGAGGTTGGGCTAACACCCTGAGATGTGTGTCTGTTCTGGGTCCTAAACATCATGTTAGTGAACTGAGTCTCAGAGTGAGGCAAACTGTTGGGGCAGCAGACTCTGGGAGAGGCCGGGCTGAGGGCTTGCACAGGCACTGCTGGCGACACTGGATCCAGGACTTGGTGAAACGGGCAGGCTGGAGACTGAAGCGACCTCCCTGTCTGAGCCGTCGTCGTTGTCGTCGGCATGGGAGCAGCGCCGATGGCTGACCACCACCCTGGAAGAGAAGATAATGGGGTTAATCCACTGTGTAAACCACTCTTCTGATATTATGTTTGAGCCTGCAGCAAGTTTTGACATAAATATTACATTAGCAGGTACTTTAAAATTAAACAAATCTAAAATTAATCCATTAAACATGTTCTATCCAACTGTTATAACATAAGGAACATAAGAACTTATTCATAGTCAAATCTAGGGCTGCAGCTATCGAATATTTTGGTAATCAAGTATTCTATCGAATATTCCATCGATT